TGCCGTGGCTCGTGTCTCTTACCTCCCTACCCGCCCACTGCCACATGCTGCAAGTTGGTCAAATTTGTGATTTATTTGAAATTTTTAATAATTCGGCATTGGGGTTTTATTGTGTGCCTGAGTTAAATTGTTTGAATGAGCCGGCCACGCAAATTAATGCAAATTTCATGCAGCTCGCACGCAGCCCCCCCACCGGCTGGCTTTCGGGGCTACTATCGTAGTCTTGCCACAGGATTCCTGGATGGAGTGGCAGCATGGCAGAGTGGGGTCCGTGCCGTGCCTGACCTAAGGCAATGCCAAGGCAGCCGCACCAAAATTTGACTATGGCAAATTCACTTAGACGTTGGCCTTTCCACGGCGTGCGCACAAACTTTCTGCCACATTCTCCATTCTGCTCCGCTCCCTTTTTTTTATCTTTCTTTTGCTTTTCATACATATTTAGCACATGCTGCATGAGAAGCCACCAACGGCGGGGTGGGCGGAGTTTGAGGGTGTGGTGTGTGTTTGCTTGCCACTTTGGAGCAGGCTACAACGCATAAAGATGCGACTTGCTGTAAGTGTGTTTATGTGCGGACGAATGGACGAACGGAAGGCGGAGTGCGGGTGTGCGGGTGTGCGGCTGTGTGGCTGGTTTTTGCGGCTATGCGTCCACTGCGGACTCTCGACACACCAGCACCGACTTTGGGAGTTTCTGCTATGTTTCTGGATATGCCACTGCCACTGCCACAGCCACAGCTAATGCTGGCTCTGGCTCTGCCGACTGGCTGGCTGGCGAATGCGGCGTATACTTAATTCGGTTTATGCTCGAACGTGTCGCACATTATTCTTATGGGCCTCTCTCTCTCTCTTTCGCTACGGCCACGATGTGTGAAATATGCAGAATGTGTGTGCACAGCAATTTTGATTAGACTCCAACACATGCACAGTAGAACCCCACAGGCACGCACACACACACACACACACACAATTGACATCCAAGGACGCAAAATAATTAAAATTTTTTGTTTCTTTTTATTTTCAGTTGCTGTACAACAATCTGTTTGATTTGCACTAAACGCGGAATAATGAAAATTATGGAAATGAAATGCCTGCCCATTGACCTCATTGAGCAGCCAGCTGGAGAGGATACCCAACGAGTGGGATGAGGACAAGGGGCAGGGACAGAAGCAGGTGGGTTGCAGACTGTGCCAGAGAGCAGGGTGGGCCAAGTTTACCCAAGACCACCACCAATCAGTGATGCAAAGAGTGGAAGGTCTCAAAGAAACCGACTACAAAATTGGGTAAGTAATCGAAAATTATCATAAAGAAAGGCATTTCAAATGATATTATAACTATTTAGAGATGACATTGATTATTATGAAACAAATCCACGGCTATTCAGAATCACTTACCCCAATAAAAGACTTAAACGGTGGGTTGTCCATCTGTGGCAAGCGGGAATTGGGTCTCGTTCCGATGCTGGTTTCGGTATCCTAAAACTGCGGATTTGCACATAATTTTAACGACCTATTTCGTGTGAAAACTGTGTCGCCATTTGCCATCCGCTATCCACCATTGCCAGAGCCAGCGCCAGCACCAGCACCAGCGCCAGAGCCATCCGACAGAACCATTCGCCATTCGCGGTGGCCAGCCAAGTGGGCAACTGAAGTGGAACTTTTAATTTCAATTTTTTATTACTTCAAATCGGCTTGCGCTGAGGCCAGCTACCGTTGCCGTAGCTGGAGCCTGGAGTCGCCCCGAGTCAACCTGTGGTGTCACCTGTTTTTCCATTGTTTCCGCTCTGCTTTTTTTTTTTGGGATTGGGATTCGCTAGCAGCAAGTTTTGCGGCATTTTAAATACGGCAATGAAAATGCTTTTTCGGTTAGTTTTTACGCGCTGGGTTGGGTCGGTTGTGCCTTGGTGGCGTTTTCCGAGATGGCTTCTTGGCTTTGGTAAGCCACTCGCCTACATTTATTGGCCTGGCGACAAATTTTTATTGCCCAGTTGTAGTTTTTGGCCTGCGGCTGCATATGCCGCACTTGTGCTGTCAGTCTGCTCACCTCTCTGCCCCCGACAGGAGACAGCAGGCAAGCATCTTGTCTGTTGGCGGTGCCCTCAGTTTTGTGGGTTTCCTCTTACCGGTGGGTTGCGGCGGCGGAAAAGTTTGTGCACTCGCACTCGGCGCTTGGGGTCTAATCACATTGCCAGGAATCAGGCAGCAGACGCCAACCTTCGCAGTACGTGATGCATTTTTTACAAGGCGCTCAGCCAGACAGACGGAAGGACCCATCCACGGACCGCAGGACATACGGTCCTCAGATAGTTCGACTTTGACTTCGGCTCCACTGCTCACAATTTGACTTTTGATGTGGGTATCTCCATCTCTCTCTCTCTCTCTCTCTCTCTCCCTGTGTGTGGGTGTGTTGTGGGTGAGCTGTGGGTGGGCTGTGGGCTTGGCACGCCCTCGAGCACCATGGGTGAAATGCGAAAGTTTGCCTGCGAAAATTGTTCGACTTCCCTTAAGTTTTCCAATAATATTGATACTTGTGTGGGTTCCATTTTAATTTGATATCGAAAACTATCGAGAGCGAGTGCTGGAGGCGGCATATAGAGAGCATATGGTTATTAAACACTTAATGACGAAGGCCAACCCCCCCGAACATTATAAAGCAATAATATTGAATATTTATTCAGCCTCGGAGTAAACCAACCATAAACCACCACGAAAAAAAACATTCATTCATAATAATTCAGGCCGTAAAACCTGTACAGTGCGCGTAGAAAAGGGGTTTGACTCTATGGTTGCCCCATGGTGCATGCCGCAGCGCACATTCGGCATGTCAGAATTTGTGGATATTCTGTTTAAATACCGTAATGAAGTCTGCTTATACAATATAATGTACCGTGTTTGTGCTACGTGCCTTGGTTATGTTATTGCACGCCGATCCGTACTTCCGTTTCGCTTCCGCCGTTTGCCAACAATGCCCCTGCCACACCGACGGGCTAGGGGAAACTGTTTGTGTGGTGCTGGTGGTATTGGCAGTTGGCAGTCGTTGGGAGATTCCTTTTACCTCTCCTACTGCTGCTGCTGTTGCTGCTGCTCCAACTTCTGCGACTCCTCCTTTGGCTCTGTTTTTATTTGCGTCGGCAAATCTTAAGCTTGTTTAACTGCTCGTTAGTGTTAGTCGCTAGCTAGTCGGCTGTAGCCTGCCATCGTCGATGTCGCTCGCTTTCCTGGCTGCCATTTTCCAGGCACAGGCCCCACCATCACCGTGACACCCTATTGTTATAACACGTTCACGACCTAGTCAACATCTCCAGCTGGGGCTGGGGCTGGGGCTGGGGCTGAGGCTGGGTACCGACCGGAGTAGTCTCCGTCTGTGTTTGGCAAGCATCGAAGTATACACCGAAAGTAGTGCCATCAGTACACGCTACACAGAGAGCGAGAGGCAGAGTCAGAGGCAGAGTACTACTCCTCTGGTGGGTGCCAAGGTGCATGCTAAGTACCGACCTCCAAGCCGAAGCTCCTCCTCATCCTGATGGCAGTGGGTAACGTAACTGCTGCCTGACTGGTAAATGTTTGTCCAGCATAATTGCGCTCAGCATGCAGTTGCCCCATGCCACTGGCTCAGCCTCAGCCTTTGCCTCAGCCTCAGCCTTTGCCTCAGCCTCAGCCTTTGCCTCAGCCTTTCCTTTGCTACAATATTTTCCTCCGTTAGTTGCCTTTGCCGGGGTTTTTTCAATTTTCCCTATTTCTGCTTTCTTGCTGCTGTTGCCGCTGTTGCCGCTGCTGCCTCTCTCTGTGGCAGGCTGGGCAGCTTTAAAGGATTTGGAACTTGTTTACGTGGCGTATTAGTATAATTTACAACGGAAGCCATCAAAAGCTTTGATGCGCCGCAGGCTAGTCGGAGAATTATTTTCACATTGCCGTAACCAAACTAATTTCAAAGCTGTCCGCAATCTTGTTGCTCCTTCGTCCCCCCCCCTTCTGTTCAGTGTGTGTGTGTGTGTGTGTGTGTGTGTGTGGGTTTGCCACAAAGAAAACAAAAGGAGACACACTTGAGAGGCACTCGCTTGATACGGATCTAGATGTGTGAAGCAGAGTGAAGCATGAAATCGAATGAAAGTCGAATGCCCCATAAACTAATAAACAGAAAAGCTAATAGAGAGCGCTTTGGCTAGCCCCAAACTGTGTGCCATGAAAATATGTGAAATCAATTAGCAAAATACTGCCAAGGATTAGATATATATAAACTCGATGGAACCACAGTTATGGCAGTTGCTTTAAACCAAACATAAGACTCATCCCTCCTCTACAAACACACACACACACTCCTCCTATCTTAATCCTATTCGCAGTCGCAGTCGGACTCGTATTTGTATGTGTTTTTGCCCATTACAATTGTCGCAGCAATTGCTGGCCATAACAATTACCGTTTCGTGTTTAACCATAATAATCTGCTCAGTTGTTTGTGTAATTAAACAAACAGTAATGCCAAGGACTCAAACCTAGCCCAGACCTAGGCACTGGTCCTGTCCCTCTTACCACTCGAGTGTTTTTATTGTTGACCAAATATGAGTTCTGGGGATTTAAAATGGTTTAATCAACTCGCCCAGTCACAGCCCTACACATACATACATACATATATGTTTATTATATTGCGCAAATATTTACGGCTGGCATGTTGGCAGGGGATGGAGGGGGCTGGGCTAGTGATTTAGCAGCTCCTTCCATTCCCCAATAAACCGGAGACGTGCGTGCGCGATTCTCCATTTAATTTCCCTTTGGCTCATAAATCTTGGGGCCAAACTTAAAAATAATACAGCGTCATAAGATTTATTGGTGGAATTTCTGAGGCAAAGACTTGGGTTCTTAGGTCTCAGCCATGGGCCAGGTGAAATCAATGGACAGCCAGAGGTGGGATTTATGGGGGCCATTCAGCTATCCGCCCAGCCCAGCCCAGCCCAGTCCAGTCCAGCCAGGACTCTCCATTATTATGCAATTTCAAGTGTTTAATTAATGTATTCTATTTTATTGCATTGCATTTAGGGTATTGGTAATGTTATTGGTATTGTATGTGTGTGTGTGTGTGTGTGTGTATAGATATATATAGATATAGATATATAGATATTATGTATGTAAACACTAACTAGCGTTATGCGTGTGCTCGATTCAATTGTTCATCACTTAACAAATAATTACGAAATTGCTTGTTGGTTAATAGCGCATAAATACGTTATTAAATGCATAACCAATTGTTCAGTTTTATTGTTTATTGTTATTACTCGTACTCTGCTATCGTCTGTTATCCATCATCATCTGTCCGCCCGGGGGAATGTGGTTTCGTTTCGCAGCCTGCTAGCTGCGGGCCAGCATTCCGTTGATCATGATGTTGGCCAGGGCGTTCCTTCGCTTGCGCCACGCCCCCATGCCCTGGGCATGGTACTGCATCTGAGTGTACCACTGCTTGGTCCGTACACCATCCTCGGCCTGTTCAAAAACAAAACAAAAAAAAAAGAGCAGACAGTGTAAAAATCCGTTAGGCGTATTTGATTGACTGGGCCGGAGAGCACGCTCTGGCTCCTGCTCCCTGCTCCCTGCTACTTTTGCTTCTTCTGCTTCGTGGTTGTCATTTTGACAGGAATCGGTGTTGAGGAGTGCGTATGTGTGTGTGTATGTATGCCTGTCAGCTGTTCAGTTGGCCGGAACTAAACGTTTCAATTTATGCGCCGCCGGGCTACGGCAGCCTATATGCCCCCTGCTCTCCTTCTGTATCCGTATCCTGCCTGCCCTTTCACGCAGCCATTTGGTTGCGCTTCTGTGCGTTCCGTCTTTCATTCTTTATATAACGTATTTCAATAAATGTCATTCATTTTGGCAGCCGCTCTCTACGTGCGCTGCCTGAGCGCGCTTGAAAGGACCGCCGCCGCGCGCCTGCGGGGGCAGCAGCAGCAGCAGCCAGAGAACGAACTCAGGACACACGGACTCGGGACTCGGGACACGGGACACGGGATACGGGACACGGATCTTAGGACTAGGGCTTAGCCCCGTTTGAATCACGAAAATTTGCATGTCTAAAATCTTGCTGGCTGGGGGGGATGGCTGGCTGAATGGCTGGTTGCCTGGTTGCCTGGCTGGCTACCAGGCATTGGGCAAGAACATATTTGAAATGGATTTTTGCATACGCTTCTTGTGCTTTTGTCTGTTATTAAAATTACTTTGCTTTCCCTCTAGCAGCAGGTATACTCGTATGTACATACATGCACAAGGACGGTAAACTCTTCATTGTATGGCCCAGGGTAAACCCCCCTCCAAGCCCAACCACCCTAAGAAAATCAGCATCAGCATCAGAATTTGTTCTGTTCGAAGGGAAAGGAAAAGGTTATGTTCACGTGTGCGTGTGTGTGTGAATGAGTTTTCTGTGAATGATTTTTATTAAATTCCTGCCGGATGCTTATGAGATTTCCCCCCTCCTCTAGCTGAAGTTTTCAGCCAGGCTCTGCTCTTTCTGGATATATTCCTTATTGTTTGTTGGTTAATTGTCCTGTTGCCGCTCTATTAACCACACGCCCTGTGGGCCCAGAGACCAGGAGATCTGTACATACATGTGTGTGCAGGAGCTGGCAAAAACTACATCTTTCGCACCACTCGAATCAGATATTCAGGCCTCCTATAACCGAATCCAATACTGAGCTGGCAAACGGCAGAACCAAACTAACGAAGCCCAAACATTGGCGATGTGCAGTCAAAAGGCAAACGCTTACTAATTCAAAAGCCAACTCAACTGGCACAGCACACGAACAGGGCCAGAAGCGAACAGAACACAGAACAGAACAGAACAGAATAGAACGGAACACAGAATAGACCAATTCAATCCAATCCAATCCACAGCCAGGCCATCTATCTATCCACGGCCAGTTGAAGTGGAAAACAAAGGACCAGGGCCAGAAGCAGAGCCAGGAGATACTAGTGTGCTCGTGTAGATAGGAACAGGAACAGAGGCTGGCTGAGTGGAAACTACTACTCACTTTGAATATGAATGTGTCCTTCGATGAAATTTCCTGCACTTCGAAATAATCATCCCAATCCGCTTCGCTGCACACCACACATCTGTCCAGATAGAGGGGCTCCCGGATCAGCGTGTAGCGTCCGCACTTCTCCTTCACCAGCAGCAGGGAGGCCTCTCGTATGCCCGTGTGCTTCGGGAAATTCAGTTTATCCGACATGGCCTTCTCTGCCCTATAATTGGCACTTGGCTGTTGTTTTTGTAGTAGTTGTCGTCGATGTAGTCGGTTGGTAAAAGAACAAAAAAACCAGACAAGAGGAATCCCAGCCAGCAGCAGCAGCAGCAGCAGCAGCAACAATGAAAAAGAGAACAAACAACAAAAATGGAATCAAAAATACAATAAGGAAAAAAAATATAGAAAATTGTGTAAAACGAAGCTAAACAAAATTACAGCTGAAAAATATGTGGAGGCAAGTAGGGTCTCTCCTCGTAGATAAGGCTTGGCAAGCGCACAAAGCGTGTCAGCCCAAGCAACTGCCGCAGGAAGCAGGAGCAGAGAGGCAGTGGCAGAACCAGCAGTCAGGAATCTCAAATCAGGAGCTGCACACACAACAAAAAAAAAATATATATATGGAGCAAAAACGAACGAAATGTTGACCGTTCTAGAATTGAGCAATTGTCGGAGGCATAGCGGGAAAGCTGGCCAGAAATTTAGAGCAGGACACAGACAGACAGACGGAAAGACGGACGGAAAGAGCAAAAAAAAAAACTAAACAAAACATGTGACATACGCACTGCGTCCATGTCGATTACGTCCCTCGATCCCTAACCATAACCATTGGGAACGGGGCACACACACACACACACACACACAGGAAGGCCGGCAGCATACTTCTGGCGTCACCTCTTCTCCGGCCACTCCTTCGCCTGCTACGCTCTCTGCTGATTTTTCTGGTGTTAAAATGGTTTTGTTTTTAGGCAGAACGAAAGAGCCGTGAAAGAGATTGTTGCTGGGATAAGCACTTTTCATTAGAAGAGAAAAAAAAAACAGGAATCAGAGAGAGAATGCGAACGAGAACAAGGCTAGGAGCTGGCAAGGATGCGGATGCGGTCTCGGTTCAATGGGCCCCGGCACTGATTTGTTGAAATCTTTTATCGCACTGAAAAGTGTTGCCATGGCAGCCCTGACAGCTCTGCTCCGATTTGCACGGACTGGAAATTCCCATTCGCTTCCACAAGGCTTTGGGAGCAAGTGCCGCTCGCTAATTGCCCCGCCATCTCCATGGCCATCTCCATGGCCAGCCATGGCTTCATGTCAAATGCCAGGCAGGCGTCTCTTGTCGCCTGTCAAACGTGACCCGCAGAAGAGGGGGAAATGGAAACGAGAAAAACTCCATGCAAGTCGCTAATCGAAGTGTCTATGGGTGGGGTTATCCCAAGGGGTGTTAAGGGGGTTAGTTTTGGACGCACCTTGCCATTGGTCACGAGCAGCGCATTGACCGGTGTGAGCTTGATGGTGCGCGCCTTCTTCCAGTTGCTGTCCGTCGGCTGTGTGTAGAGGAGCTTACCCTCCATGGCGAAGCGGACCTCATCGTGATTCCACTCGAGCACGTCGATGGCCATTTTGCGCAGCTTGATGTTTATCATATCAATTTCGCAGGAGGCCCGTCGATTGGGGCTGGAGGAGCTGATGCGGCGCCAGAGCTTGGTGGGCACATCCTTGGCCTCCTGGTTGATGTGATTCAAGTGCAGTTCGATTTTCTCCTGGGCCTGCTTCAGCAGCTCACGTCCGTCGATTTGCGTGGGCGTCACCTTGTAGAGACGCGCCAGCAGCAGGGGATACTTGGTCACGCGCTGGACGGGCACCTGTTGTATGGTGGTGGTCAAATGGTTTGAGAATCGATTAGGGGATTGCCAATGAATATAAAGCACACTCACCATCAGGAAGGAGTTGAGGTTCATGCGCCGCAGTACGGCGTTCTCCATCTGCGAGACCTTCAGGAAAATGCGCAACAATTCCTTCTCCTTCTCGAGGTTGGCCAGCAGCAAGCTGGCGCCCGCCTGCCGGACGCAGTAGCTCTCGAAGGCGTGCAGCATCTGCGTAAAGTCGAGAAAGATGCGTCCAATGTTGACCGTGAGCAGATCGTCATCGCCCTGCTCCAGGGACATGTCCAGGGCGTCGCGCATCCGCTCCGCCAGCGTCTGATTGTTCTCAAGCAAGTCTTCCGTGTTGAGGAAGATTGCGGAGAGCTGCTCCTGGGTGAGCAGGCCAGCCACCAGCATCGGGTGGCAGAACTCCTCGAGGATGATCTGCAGGTCGCGGCCGTACTTCTCCTCCGTCTCCACAATCTCCGTGATGATCTCCTTGCGCTCCACCCGCTTCTTGCCGCACTTGCGGCACACGAGCGGCGCGTACAGCACGCCCGCCTCCCCCACCTGCATCTCCACCGCTCCGTCACAGTCCTCGCACAGATGCAGCACGGTGGGCGTGGCCTGGTACTTGCTGCGCGACGATTTGCTCGTCTCGGAACCCACACCCGAGTCCTGCCGCTCCACGTCGCTGCCACACTTGCCGCCGCCGCAGATGAAGCTGTGAGGTGGCGGCGACAGGGAGTTCATGTTGCTCTGGCCACTGTCCCGATCCTCCACGCGCTTGTCCAGCTCACTGAGCGTGTCCGTGGCCTCCTCCTCGATGATCTTCGGATTGTTGCTGTAGTCGAAGCTCTCCTCGCGGGCCAGTCCCCGCTCCTTGGCGTCCACCAGGTACGACAGAATGTCGTACTTGGAGGCGCCCTCGAAGATGGAGCGGGCTGCCTTCTTCTCCAGCTCAGCATCGTTCAGCGGCGGTGCGGAGAGCGGCAGGGGCGGCGGCTTCTCGTTGATTTCCTCGTAGATGGGATCGCCATTGAGCCGAATGGACTCGTAGTGGTGTTCCGCCTCCGTCTCCACCTCCGTTTCCGTGTGCGTTGAGTGCTCGATCTCGGCGAGAGTGGCATCCACCAGCAGCTGATAGAACTTGGCCCGTGTGGCTGCATCCAGCTCTGGTTCACTCTGGTCCACTTCAACCGGCTGCTGTTGCTCCTCTTCGATGATTCCGGACGCTGTGAGGACACTGGAACAGCTCTGGTAGCAGTCAGACTCATTGCCGCCCGCAAAATCAAACAGCTCGTAGTTGTGGGCGGAGGCGAAGCTGTTGGCGGAGCTGATGCTGCCCCGATTGGAGAGGCGATCCTCCTCTTTGGTAGTCCGCTCACCGCGGATCCGCTGCAGCGAGGCGCTGATCAGGCGATTCATGTCGTCGTGGTCTTTGGTGCCGCTCATGTCGATGGCCTGGCGTGCCTGCTGCAGCCGCTGCAGCGAGTTCTCGATCAGCTCGGCCACCGTCTCCGTCTCGAGGCCCTCGGCCACCTGCCCCAGCATCGGATCCTGCAGCAGCTTGGCTATGAAGCTGCCCTCCTTGGCCATGCTCCTGGGGACAATTGTGGTCACGGCATCCTGCATCTTCTTGGAGCGTCCGGTGTCGCCACCCGCTGACCGCAGCCCACACACATGCGGCACCAAGTTGCGCTTCACCGCCTCCACGGGATTCCGCAGTATCTTCAGCAGCTCCGTCTCGTGCTGCACCAAAGGGCTTGGACTCGCGCTGTCGCTTGGCGATGCAGGCGGCGGCGGCGTGGCTGGCGTCGAGCTGATTGCCGGCGGCGTATTGATGGGCGTTGTGCTGGTGCCCGCCCCAGTCCTCTCCCGCTCGTAGTCCAGGCGGATGAGGGTGCGCCCCCTGCCGCTGGAGCTGCCGCTGCTGGACGTGGAGCTGCTCGAGGTGGAGGAGATACAGGAAACGGATCGCTGCAGGTTAATCTCGCTGCTCCGTATAGGGATGATGGCGATGCCCAGGCCCAGGCCCGTGCCCATCATCTGCTGACTGCGCAGCGTGTTGAGATGATTCAGCTGCTGCTCCTCCTCCTCGGCACTGCTCACGTTGATGCACACCCCGCCGGTGCTGACCGCCTGGCTGTTGACCACCACGGACGACTGGTACAGAGGCTGTGCCGCGTTCGCGCTGAGGTTCATTGTGGAGTAGCAATCATCGCCGCTAATCAGTATCGATGTCTTCTTGGGGGTCGCCTCCTCCTCCTCCTCGGGCGTGAGCAGCAGCCTGGTGCTCGGCTTGCGGCGCAGCTGTACGCCCTGATCCGTGTGCGAATAGGTGTCATCATCCTCGCTGTGGCAGATTTTCAGGCGGTGCACCTCGTGGGCTCCCTCCCCGCTCTGGTTGAAGGGTGCCACCCGCACCACAGTCCTCTGCTGCTGCTGTTGTTGCTGCTTGTGGCGTGGCTGTGCCGGAGTCGATGTCACAATCGGAGACAGAGTCTGAGTCAGGGCTGACTTATTGATTCCGTGTGGCGGCTGCTCTAATCCTTTTGCGGTCTCCGTCAGTGGCTCCGTCAGTGCCTTGGGGGGCGAGCCGGGTGGCGGTGGGGGCGGCTCCGTTGGACGCCTTTGAAATAAATCTCTCGAGTCGCTGCGGCTGCTTTTTATGCGCAGCGCCATTGTGTCCTTAAAATTTAAAATGACATTCTGCGGCCCACTCACTGGGGCGGTGGAGCGAGGATGCGACGATGTTGTCGTCTTCGAAATGGAGCTGCTGCTGGTGCTGGTGCTTGCGATGGAGTTCCTAGCGGCAGTGGCGGCAATGGGCGCGGTCGACAAATGCCTTTCGCTGTGCGCCCGTCTGATGGGATTTCGCGATTGTGTCGCTTGTGCCGCACGCTTTTGACTTGCCGCAGGCCTGGCAGAAGCAGCAGCAGCAGCAGTCGTATCCTTCTGCCTTACCACATTCTCTTCGTCCTTGTCCTCGTCCTCCACCCCATGGCCATTCATGTTGATGTTGTTGCCATTGCCGTTGCTGTTGGTGTGGCTGCTGCTCTGGCTGTGGCTCTTGTCGTTGTGCTCGTCATCATCGTCATAATCGCGATTTGCTGCTGTCGTCTTTTGGGTTTGCCGTTGCTCCTACTTGGGCCCCTCCTGCTGCTGCTGCTTCTGCTTCTGCTGCTGTCGTGGCGGTGCCTGCAATGGAGTAGATGGTGACACTGGTGAGTGGCGTGTCGCAGCTAGGAAAATGTTGCTTTTGTAAAGTAAACAAGACGAGAACCAGGTCTCTGGTCTGATCATGGGAGTAGACGTAGGAGACACGACCACCGCCTCCACCACCCAGGGGCATTCTGTTCTATGCCCATCAGTGGTGTCCCTTTTAGCTATCTTTGGCCAGACCTTTTGGCTACAGCTAGAATTGATGTTCTGTTTTGTTTCTGGTTAAATATTTATGCATAATTTGGGCTGGGGGGAGGCGGGGATATTGGGGCATGCCACCTATCGAATGTTTAGCTATTTATTCATCCATCTTGTTGGGCAGCTCTTGGCACCAAATCGTTTCACACCATGCAGATTTATGTGCAAACCCAAAATGGTGTAGTTACCTCCCCCTTTCCCACTTACTATCCTCGCCCTCTCTCTATCGGAGTCTCATTCCCCCTACCGCGTGTCATGGCCCACGTTGACAGCCACTTAAAGATGTGCTTTACCCCGATAAGGTGTTTTGTTTTGGCTGGGACTCCTTTGGTTTCTGGCTAACGGCTGTGGCGGTGACGGTGGCTATGGTTGCGGCTGGTTGTGGCCACCAATTGCTGCGCCCCCCGCCACACCACACCCCCCTGAGCTGACAATATGTACGTATCTTTATTTATGGTAAATTGGGTGATTTACGTTGCGGCCGATAAGCTTTGCTTTTCAGCGGGTGCCGTGGCTCTCGTGGCTCTCGTGGCTCGTGGATCCTTGTCCTTGTCTTGGCATTTGTATTGCCAGGCAGCTCAAGTCCTTGACTGGAACTGAGACGGAGATGGAGACGCAGACTGGGATGGAGACCGTGGCACAAGTCAGGGCTTGTAAATGGGCTTTTATTTTCGTTAGCCGGGTTAAGAGCACGAGGCACGAGGACAAGGGCGCGGATGTGGCTTTGGCGGACGTCGCTGAGTCTCAGTTGTGGCAAACAATTTGTGTTGGAATTAAGATAATAGATTACATTTAAATGCTTTCGGCGGCGGCTGCGAAAAGGGTTTACTGGCTGTCGCCGAAATTTGAGTGCCGCTGCTGACGTCAGCGTCAGGGTCGACCCAGGGGACAGCTCTTCGGTACCCATCCCCCCCATCCACCCCTCCAATCTCCTCCCCAGAGATACCCACAGCCCACAGAGAGAACAGAGAACTGAAAACGAAAAACGGAAAACGGTTGTCCTGGCCTTGGAAAGCCCCTATCATTCTCCTTCTGCTGGCAGCAGCAGCCTTTTAATGAGTGTGAAAAGTGAGCTGGTTTTATGGGTTGCGGCCACCTTTGCGTTTTATGTTAATGAGTGTCATCAACGGGTAGATTCGAGCTCCTCAGCCGGTGCACTTTGAACCCCATTGCGGCTCGAATGTCTCTCCATGGCACCTCCGACCCCCAAAAGGCACATCATCATCAGGAACATCATCAGGAATGGAAGCAGCAGCAGCTGCCTAGCCAACAATGAAATTAATTAATTGCTAGAGCCACTTGAATTTCAATCGACAACACTTCGATTTGCTAATCGCATTAGCTGGCTGCCGCTGCCTGCCGCATTCCAAAACAGTCGAAACAGTCGAAATACGAAGTAGTTGCCGCTTCCGTCCGCCCAATGCAAAACAGCGACAAATGGAGGAGCAACGAAAAAGCGAGAAGTAATAGAATCCGAGGGCTACATAGATACCCTTGAAAGATTGGCGAACTGGTGCTATGGCAACGATACGAGTCCTCAGATTTTGTCAACAGCTTCTTGGCTTTTATTGGAATATTTTCATGAGCTGAAGAGTTGTTCTCCCATAGACAATGCACCGGTTGAGTGCTGGTGCCTATGAGAGCTTTTGGAAATTGTACAATAAACCGAGCGGGGAAAACAGTAGAATCTCCTAAAAGTTTTCTTCTGCAAGGCACTAAAATGAACAGGGTAGAAGGGCATTTAGAGTCTAAATTTTAGACTCGTCCTCATTCCCAAAAAATCAATGACTCTTTCGAAGCGTATAATTCTCTCTTTAGCGACTCTCTGGGAAAAAGGTGACTCGGTTTTCATCTACAACACAAGCACACCCTTTTTCCCCATTTTTGCAGAGTTATTCCTGCCGTTGCTGCTGCTGCCTTTGTCCTTTCTCTACTATTTGCACTTAATGAGATTTTTGTTGAGAATTACATTGGCATTGTCGCCGGGGGAATAGTTACCTCACTACCGCTCCTGCTCCCGCTCCCTCTTCCTCTGCCCCTCCACCCACTCTATCTTTCTGAATCTCTCAACTATTGTAATTGGCTGTCGACTTGTCTCTGGGCGAAAATATTTAATCAACGCCTTTTGTAGCTGGCACCCCCCTTCCCGCCTTCTGCTTCCGATTCCCGCTTCTCTCCCGCTTATCGTAATCCTGATTTGGGCCAAAAACTAAACCAGAAATTTGACAAAAGCCTTTACTTATCTAATTGCGTTGCTCTTGATATAGCCCAGATATACTCGTAGTATCTGGAGGAAATCCCAAATAAAAACAAACAAATTTACACTGAAGTGAAAAACGTTACTTCAAAAAACAAAGCAAATACTGTACATATTTTTACGGGTAAACTTCAACAAAAGATGGTAAATATTTTTAAGGCAAAAACTTATTGAACAAAGAAAACAGATAGAGATTTTTGTAGGAAAACTGTTTGAACAACGATTTACATGTAATTGCGAAGCAGAAGCAGCAGAAGCAGAAGAAAGCTGACTCCCTGCTGTGGCAACATTCAATCAGGAATCTTGTTAAATGTGAAATCAATGCTACCACCCAATGTGTGATGTGTGTTCGTTCTACTATTTCTTGGGGAATAGTTTTTGGGCTGCTTCTTTTGGTTGTATTTTCGGTTGAACAAAGCAAAGGAAAAATGTAAATAAATTGTAAATAAAGATGAGAGTGCAGGAGGCTGATGCAGAGGTATATCCTATATCCTGTATTGCCATCACTACTTTTCCTTTGCCTTTGCCGCTTTGCTGGCCAAGTGCGGCTTTGTTCATTTGAGAAGAAAAAGTAATTAAAAGTGTAACTTGTCGGGATTAGTAAAAACATTTTAATTTAGTTGCGATCCATGGCAGGAGCTGGAACAGAAGTAGGTGCAGAAATTGGGGGGAAGCAAGTAAGGAGCAGCACCCTCAGGGCTGCTCTCATGGGTTGTATGTGGAGGGGTTGCACGTCGTGGCAGCAAAGTCAAACTGAAATGGGTCAATAAATCCGAGCTTAATTTTATTGCTCCTGCTAGCCATCTCTTTCGCTGTCCCCTGTCCGTTCGTCTGTCTGTGTGTCTCTCTCTCCTTTGAGCTATTCTGCTGAGCGAGACGAAGAAATATAAATCGCAATGGTAAACAAATCAAAATAAATGAGTAACAAAAGCAGAGCCATGAAGCAGGAGCACAGCAGCTTTCAGCTCTCCTGCCCTCACCTCCCTCCATCCCTCACGCCACAACCAATGTGCTGACAAGCTGACAAACTGACTCGAGACTCCATTCCGAAGGGAGGGGTTTAGGGAGAAGACTCTGCAACGACGTGGAGGCGTCTCTGGCAAGCTGCCGAGCAAAAGGGCGAAGCGAAGGGAAAAAAAAGCATTGCAAAAAAAAGCAGCGAGAAAGAAATTATAGTGGCTGAGCAGGGATTGAAATACGTAAACGTATACGGATTCAGATACAGATTGGAATTGCGATTCGGATGGTTCTCTAGCCCCTAGTCCAGGTCCACCCCCTTTCCCACCCCCAGAGCTGGTCCTTCGCCCGTCCACTGCTTACATTGTGTACATTCTGGCTCATTTCAATAAGGGCCAAAACATTTTTACAAGCAGGACATGTCAGAAAGCAGTCGAGTTTGATGGAAATTCCTAGGGGAAAAAACATATAAATTCGCATTAGAAATGCACGAGTTGATTTGAGTTTCATTTTAGCTGTGAAATAAGCAAACAATGCCCATTGCACAGCAGCAGCAACAACTGCTAAACAAGTGCAACGTAAGGTGGCTGCAACAACAGCAGCAGCAGCAGCAGCAGCTTTTTACTGCCATTGGTGGTGTTGTTGTTGCTGCTGCTATTGTGGCACGTTCCGCTAGCCTGCGCAACATTCATTTCCTTGTCTTGGGTCTGGTCCTGGTCCTGGTCCCGTGACTCCTTTGTCTTGCCCATCGCTTGGCCCTTCCACAGATTTTCCTTCTACTTCTGCTGCTGCTGCTACTGCTACTGTTTTTCCCCGTCTATATGCTTCGAGTGCTTCGCCATCCTCTTGGCAGTGTTTTTCCTTCATTTTTCGTACTGCCACTGCTACAGCTTTTCCATCTTTTTAAATGCGCGTAAACTACTTACAGGCGCATCCGACGACTCCTTCTTCTGTCCATAGGTATCTTATATATATTTTATATATATATATATATATATATATATGTATACAGCTCTCTCTCTCTCTCTGTATTATATATATTTATGCGGAGCAGAAGAGAAGCAGTCGGACAGCGTGAACAAAAACAAACTGCCGGCAAACATATTGCAAAAGTGCAAACAGCGGGCATAAGATGCGTTGAAAATCCTTTATCAGTGAAATTATTTGCACAAGGACAACAGGAGGGGCAGGAGCAGGAGGCTGAGCTGGAGTAGGAACTGGAGGATTGCTCTCCAACAACAACGAAGGCAAAATGAAAACGAAATGAAAATGACTCTGGCAAAAGGGCGTACTGGAACAGAAACTGGCCAAAACAAACCGATTCCCCAGTTGCCCCGTGCCCGTGCCCCGTGCCCCATGCCCCATTCACCATGCCCCATTCCACAGTGCTGCTTGCTGGCTTGCTTGCCAAATGTGTTGGAAAATTTCTCGCTAAAAAAGAATCTCCGTTGGCTCTCCTCCCACCATCCATTCCCATTCCCATTCCGCATCCATACCCGCCGCCATTCCACTCCATTCCGCCGCGGAGAAGCATGCTACACTTTTCTTTAATGGCAG